GAGGACCAAACGGAAATCCAGGACGTGCTGGAGGTCCTGGTAATGATGGTCGTCCTGGACCTCCTGGACCTCCCGGACCAAGTGGAGCTCCAGGAAATAGAGGACCAAACGGAAATCCAGGACGTGCTGGAGGTCCTGGTAATGATGGTCGTCCTGGTCCTCCTGGACCTCCCGGAGATGGTGGAGCACCAGGAAATCCTGGATCCGCTGGAAGACCAGGAGAGCCTGGAAGACCCGGCACAAGTGGAAGTGGAACTCCTGGCCGCCCAGGACCAGCTGGAGCTATTGGAGCTCCAGGAAATGCTGGAGGACCCGGCAGAGCCGGCAGTCCTGGAAGAGCTGGCGGACCTGGCCCGGCTGGGCAACCTGGAGGACGAGGACAGCCAGGAAGGAACGGTCAACCCGGAAGACGTGGAAACCCTGCAGGTCCCGGAGGTGATGCCAACTACTGCCCGTGCCCACCTCGCTATGCTGCTTCTGCCCGCAAGGCACGTGTCTGAATTTCACTATTCAATAAAAATTGCAACTTTTGTCGTTATTCTCAAAAATAAGCGATGAATGTTGGGGTAATGGGTTCACTACAAATGAGCTCAATGAACAGAGACGAAGAGAAGTATTGCATTCTTGAAAAGACCATACACAAACTACAAGGGAAATTGTTTTTCTAAGTGATCCCAACAGTATGCCGTTTCTACTAGCTCACTGAAATAAAAATAGAACGGTATAGAAGGAGTGCAAGTAGCATCGCACAAGGAGAGTTCCCTGTCAGTCTGAGCCCACTTTTAGTGGTCCTTAGTTTAGCGATTGATGGCAGTGTGAAGTTCGCAGAAACTATTGTTTCCGAGATGATCTGATATCCACTGAGTATCCTTCCAATTTGTTGTGTTCACAGAACAATGCTGAAGCACTGCTATGTCTTCTTCTGGAAAAATGGGTGATCGGGTCATAATAGAATCGTTGGCGAATCATCTTTTGTTAATGCAAAGGCAATCTCTCCATGAGAACTGGTGATTAACCGTATGATCACAGCTTCGCAATCATTGGTTGCCTATCTTACAGAGGAAGTAAAGCTCGACGAAGAGCTTTACTTCCTCTGTAAGAGCGGGAGCCGTTTGGTGTGGTTATACATGATGTGGGCGGAAGTGGTGTAGTGGCAAGTGGCACGCTTACCACGCGAGCGGTCCGGGATCAAATCCTGGGTCGTGAGTCGCCCGGGCCAACCAAGCCTTCCATCCCTCCGGGGTCGGTTAATTGGTACCAGACTTGTCTGGGAGGATAAAAACACTGACTTGTACATCGGCTGGCCCCCGCAAGTCATTGTATAGGCCACATCGCATTCAAACGCCACTACGAATGTACAAATGGAAGTAGAATGCGTGCCGCATCCCAAAAAGGGATTGATCAACGGCAAATGCTTTATCCTTATAATTTACACAAAATGCTTTGTACGAAGTCGTGCTTCAGCAATGTATTGTATTCCTTTCAAATGGAGCTATGGCTTACAGTTTGAAGGGTCTTAAAGGGGATTTCACGAAAATTTCGAAAGTCGAAAAAGGAAAACGAACCTAGTAGGAAAGACAGCCACCCTATAATTGTGCGGACCGACACGAATTAGTTTAGCCAGGTCTCAGGCAATGCTCCTGGGGACTAGCATGGCGCCGTCCCTCGCCTCCGAGAGTCCGTCCGCACCCACCCTTCGCCGTCTTAACAGGAAGCGTCTTTCGGACATTGGCAAGCCCCTGTTTTGAAAACCGGTTCTTGCATGTAAGGGGGGAAGAGTGCAGTACAAGCCTTATGCCCGCCATTTGTGTTCTGAGCGGCCCTGTGCCAGGTGCCATAAAGCCTATGAAAATGCGGTCGAGGGATCGGTCCCGGCTGATGACAAAATTTTGCATTTCATGGTAGCGCATGTTAAATGACTCCAAATGTTACCGCCGATAAAAATAGGTACTGTTTTTACAATCAGGGTCATCATCAACCTTTCTGATTAGCTTCTCTGCCCCAGAATTGGGGCGAAAATTGTACGGCGCTAAAGCGGCCCCGAGTTGGTGCCCGAGGGCTAAAATGCCCCGCCCCCACAATATCGCGCCTCCATCAAAAATGGACGTCAGATTCGTAATCAGCGCCTATAATTACCCTTATAGCCGCAGTTTTAGAGAAGATCAAGATTTCGGCCCAAATTCAAAAATTGGGCCATGGGTTAGCCCATAGTCAGTATACGGCATGCACGCCCTTATCCCTTTGGGAAGACCAAGACTCCGACGATGATAGCAAAACGGCTAACGTTTGCCGCTCTCGCATTAGTTACACTTCCACATGCAGTCCTGCCCATGGGGGCAACTCTGGCGTATCACCCCCTTTGAATCACGTCATACATGGGGCGATGCTGGGAGTGGGACATGGCTACGTCGCGAGCCATCTTGGACATTCCGCGACGCTGGCCCCGCAATCTGCCTTCGAGGGAGTGACGAGTAGGCCTGCTTTCCTCTTGCGAAGAAATGCGCCAACTTCCACAAAAGCTGCTGAGTTCGCTATAGATGCAGTCAGCGCCTGTTGATTGCTGCGCCATGCCCCTGATCCCACGATAATTCATGAGTTTTGCCCATCACTGCTAGTTTATTTATTGCCCTTGTAAACGGAATTTTGCGTACACAACTGCCAAAAAACATGGCTATGACGCAAATCAACGCCCAAGAATGAGGGAGCAAAGTCCATGCGAAAACGACCTATGAGCCCATTTAGCTGACGCCAAGCCACGCTGCCAATGCCCCCCAGGAAAAGGCTTAGATAATCTGAAAAAATTTTTTACAAAAGTTCGTGAGATGGATTGGGACCGAAGCCATCAACTTCTGAACCAAACGCTGCCAGTAGACTCCACGATCACGCTTATCCACTCGACCAATCCGACCACCGCAGCGTCAGTAAATTGTCAACGCCTCTAAATGAAACTTCCTTGTGCTTTTGAGCACTTATTATATACAATTTTTGGTATTGGCTTTATTCCACGCTGTTTTCAACGTTCAAGTGAAGAAAACCTTCTATTGTGCGTCCACTTAACATACCGAGTGATATAAAGAACGTTGAAGGTGTGAAAACTCCGATTTCTGAAGAAATTTTTTTCACTCCTTTTTTGGCATCCAGAGGGCCGCTCAGAAAAAATGGCAGGGATAGCCGAGTGGTTAAGAGGTTAGACTCATGTCTGCACCTCTGAAAACCGCGAGTTCGATCCCTGCCGAGGTTAACCATGCCTTGCAAAAATTGCAAAAATGGTTCTAGTACCAGCGTCAGGCCCAGGTTGACAGGCCGGCTGATGAACACCCCAGTCACACCAAACATGTCTAAAAGTCGCAAAAGAATCAGTGATAAAGCTAGGACGTCACCCGGAAGTGGCGCGCAGAACCCCCGCCCGAGTTCTGTGGTCAGTATGCGAGGGCTACCGAGGAGTGAACGGCCTCGGCCAAAGAAGCTAGTTCGAATTGGGACTCTGAACGTAGGATCGCTAACTGGGAAGTCCCGAGAGGTTGCTGATCTGATGACGCGCAGGAATATCCAAGTCCTATGCCTTCAGGAGACGCGATGGAAAGGTGCTAAGGCCAGGGAAATCGGGGAAGGTGTCAACTCTACTACAATGGAGAAGACACCAAGCGGAACGGCGTGGCCATAGCGGTAGCGGAGTCGCTCAAGGACTATGTCTCCGCTGTGAACAGGATCAGCGATCGGATCATGGCTGTGAGGATAGACACGAAGGAGGGGTACTGGACAATACTCTCCGTGTACGCACCGCAGCCGGATGCCCCGAAGTGAGAAGGACGAGTTCTATCTGAGCCTGGACGAAGCCATAAGATCGATTCCGGAAGGCGATTACCTGACCATAGCAGGTGATCTGAATGGTCACGTCGGCAGTGACAGAAGAGGCCTGGAAAGGGTGCACGGAGGTAGAGGGATAGGAACGAGGAACGCTGAGGGAGAGAGGGTTCTGGACCTGGCTACAGCCCACGATCTGGCAAGTCTGCAGCACGTTCTTCGCGAAAAGGGAGACTCAAAAGGTAACCTACAGCAGTGGAGGGAGACAGACGGAAATCGACCATGTGCTGGTAAGAAGATCATCCCTCAAAACTGTGAAGGATATCAAGGTACTCCCTGGCGAAGACTGGCTCCCCAGCACAGGCCCCTCCTGGCAGACATTGCATAGACCTCCCCAAGAAGACAAGGGTAAGAACCGAGAGGAGAATCCGGTGGTGGAAGCTGCACCAAGCGGAGAAGGATGACCTCAAGGCGAAAGATAATGGAAGTCGGTCTCCCAGATCCTAACGGGCCAATACAGCGGACTTGGGGCAACGCGGCTGAGACCATCCTGCGATGTGCCAAGGAGGTACTGGGCGAGACGCGAGGTGGATTCAGAGGAGACAAGGCAGCGTGGTTCTGGAACGAGGAGGTCCAGCGAGTCGTGAAGCAGAAGAAGGAAGCATACAAGCGCTGGCAGAAGACCCGGAGCCCGAGGACCTCGCTGCCTACAAGAGTTGCAAGAGGCTCGCTAAGGCTGCGTCGCCAAGGCGAAGAACACGGAGATGGACGCCTTGTACGAGAAGTTGGAAAGCAGAAACGCAGAGAAGTTCGTCTTCAGGCTGGCTAAGGCCCGGCATCGGCTACTCAAGACATCAGGGTGGTGAAGAGTGTAAAAGGCAGCAATGGTGTCATCTAAGGAAGCCAGCGAGTCAA